AGCGACAACTAAACAACTACTAGAGACCACCGAAATGAGAGTACTACGCAGAATAGCTGGAAAGACGCTTCTGGACAGGGAGAGAAATGAAAGCATAAGAAGAGCGTGCAAGGTGGAAAATGTAAATGAGTGGGTACTCAGCAAAAAGGAAGAATGGAACGATCATATCAGCAGAATAAACAACAGAAGGATAGTGAGAGTTGCACGCGACAAATCACCGCTAGATCGCAGAAGCTTAGGACGTCCACGAACACGATGGAGCGACAACTTGTCAGTCTGACCGGTAGAGACAAAGAAACCAAACAGGCGATTCGCCTAGTATGAAAAAAGAAGAAGAAGAAGATGATACTGTACCTGGGTATTAATATCCTCTGATTGTGTGCTAGGAAGTAAATTTTCATGCATATTTTCATCAATAAGTTTGTAGTTTTTAAATAACGGTCTAGGTAAAGCATTTAGCTCTTTGCTAGCTCAGAATTATAATTATCACATCGTCATATTCATTTCAAACCAATAATCAACGAGAATATTCGTATAATTTCAACAGAATTACTCTAAACCACTATAAATACGAATTGTTGGTTATATCGCAGGCTATTGAGAAAAAAGAAAATGTACAGATTACAGAAATATATTGAAAATAATATTTATTAAAAAAAAGTGAGATACTGAAAAAAAACTGGCATGGCGACAAAAAAATAGAGGAAAGATGATTTCAAAGTTAGATTCATAAAATTACATATAAATTTAGTTAGTTAAGTTAGCTAGTTTAGTTAAAATTACATATACAGGGTGGCGCATCTCATTCGCCTCGATTGATTATACGAACACGGAAAGATGTAGAAACAAAATATTTTATGGGTATATGTGGGGAGGTAATGTGGACAATTTAAAATTATTTTGAAATGTACAGGGTGTTTCAGAACTAAGATCCATATCAAAGTTATATTTTTTCTTATGGAACACCCTGTATTTTATTTCATTTTTGGATTCTTGGGCCCAAAAAAAGGTATTTATTATAAGGATTAAATATGTTTAAAATCTTTGGTTTTGAGATATTTAAATTTGCATGCTGCAATAGAATAGATTATTAACACCCTGTACATTACTTTTCAGAATTAATTTTTGTGCTGAGTTTAAAGGTAGAGAAATAAACTTTACAGAAAAATGTTATTCCTTCCTTAAATGTATACAGCGGTATCAAAAATTGCTGGTCTATTTTAAATATTTATTTTACATAAAAACTTTGTTATTTCAAATGCAACACTATGTATTTTTTTAAATAAGTTGAAGCAGATTTAAATGCTCTTTCAAACTATAGGGTTTCCTATACCCATCTGGCTCAGATTTTGAATAAAAAGCAATTTTTCAATAAAATTGTAATCAAGATGGCTAGTCTTGTCATGGGAAGTTTCTAGTAACAGTAGCTATTTTCAAAATCGAAATTAGTTTATGGACTTATTTAAATTTACCAGTTTACTTTTATTTAATTTATAATTATACCTACAATAGTTTAATAAATAATATTTATTAAATATGTGTTTATTATTCTATCAAGAAAAACGCAGAAGTAATTTTTTGGATTATTTTACGATGACTTGTAGATATAGGTATGCATTTTCTATAAAAGAGCCAATTACGGTAAATTCATTTTCTTCACTTCCAACGACAGATTTCTGCCTAATAGTTTTTTAATAAACCACACTACCAGGACAAGCAGTTTTTCAAAGAAACGCTTATCAGGAAGATTCCTATTTGGATATCTTTAAGCATACGCCCTTGAAGCCAAGAAGCAATTTTCCTCACAAAATAATATCACTAGTAACATATCTATTCGTTCCGCCAGCAGATACTGCTTTATTTCTCTTGATAAAGTAATAAATACTTACTTATTAAACTCTTGTAGGTAAATCTAAGTAAATACTGTTATACATTATAAATAACAATGTCTATAAACTAATGTCGACTTTGAAAATAGTTACTGTCACTAGAAAATTGCCATGGCGACACCAGCCATCTTGATTACAATTTTATTGAAAAATCGCTTTTTGAAATGAAATAAAATACAGGGTGTTCCATAAGAAAAAATATAACTTTGGTATGGATCTTAGTTCTGAAACACCCTGTATATTTCAAAATAATTTTAAATTGTGCACATTGTCTCCCCACATATACCCATAAAATATGTTCTTTCTACATCTTTCCGTTTTCGTATAATCAACCGAGGCGAATGAGCTGCGCCACCCTGTATAGACTAACCAGCGAATCAGGGAAGATTTTGACAGACTATTACATCCGAAAAATGACAGAAAATACCGTATTATCGAAAAAAAACGGCGTCCAGTTGGCTGCGAAATGACGATCGATGACATTTCCCATATAAATTTACATATAAAATGATAGCGATCTTCATTTCATAGCCATCGCTGACGCCGTTTTTTTTTCGATCATACGGTATAATTTGCCTATGAATTAAAGTGAGAGGCACAACTGTCACTGTCATGCACCCTCACGTTGGACAGACTATAGTAGATTACTGTTCCAACAATCACTTAAATCCTAGCAATAAAACTTAAAAATTCTTAACAGACTTGGAGTAATTTTATCAGCATAGTTTCCAAGTGTTTAACTATTAGTTCTCTGATTTTATATATCAGATTTTTTTTGCCACCGTGTATTGGAAATGATTAAAAAATCAGGTCGAGCAAACATTCGATTCCTATTTGTTCGGCGAGCACAAAAGAAAACAGATGCCGTTTCTATTTAAAGCGCACACTAACTGTACCTGATACATAAATGGCAAAAATGAGAAAAACTTTCTTTTAACATTTAGGTTGTAAATAATTTTTGAGCTAATATGTCCTTTATAGACTAGTAACACAAAAAGAACACTGATCCATATTTTATTTAGCTATTTTTATTTTTTCAAATACAAAAAAACACACATAATATGTAAAATTGATTACTGAAGAAGGCAGTAACGGTTTACAGCAATTTTAGTATCAGAAACATGCCTTTACTTTTGGTCCTTATCAATACACCTATGAAATAGTTTACTCTTTTTCTAATGTCACTGTCATAGAAGATGCATGCTATCTGTTCAATTAAAGCACAATAGCGGATACAACTTTTCTGCACTTAAAACCATCTCTACTAGAGCTGATGCTAATAAACAATAACAATGACAGTGAGACATTACAAAATCAATGAACACTTTTTCATTTATGTGTATGTGAGGATCAAAACAAAGGCATGGCTTTTAATGCTAAAATTGATGTTAATTGTTGCAGTCTTCCTCAAAAATGAACATCTCCAACAAAAAACAAACTGAAAGATAGATAAGGACTTTAATTTTTTACAAATAGAAATTAAAAAAATGTCTCATTTGCATAAGCCAACCAAATAATGTATAAATGAAAATTTTAGATATTAAAAAAATAAAATCTAAAAAATAACTAAAAGAGAAAGAATAGAAAATAAAATAATAAATAACAAAAAAGGAGAAAAATAATCAAAAAAATAAATTACTACACTGACTATATGAATGGTAAGTATATTAAAAAATAGGTAATTGAGGAAATTAAATGATAAGTAGAATAAAAATTTAAAATTTTCATATTAAAAGAAAACAAATCTCAAAATAACTAAAACAGAAAAAATAGAATATGAAATAATAATTAACAAGAAATGTCTCTTTCAGAAGAATGAAAGTCTTTTAAAAAAAAAAAGAAGAAAAATAATCAAAAAATTAACGAATAGTAAGTATTTATATTAAATAATTGAGAAATGAAAATAAGAGATATAAAAATTTAAAATTTTCATATTTATGGGCAATTCATTACAGATGCCGGAAATTGACGCCAACCTAAAATGTGTATTTAGTTGCGATACTTCTAGTTTGAATTTATTCACTTTCCTGCGAAATGCGTACCTATAGGATAACTATTTTTTCACGGATAATACACAAATAATGGTGCATGGTAAACTTCCCACGGATTTGGGTTAAAATTTCCCTTTTCCCTCTGGATCTCGAAATTTTCCACGAATTGGGAAATCTCCCACGAGTTGGCATCATTAATATCTAGTGTGTATGTATAAAGACATTCGTTCATACCTCCAGTTGACGACGTCACGAGTAAACAGTGCGGCCTTGTTCTTTGAAAAGCTGCCGCTTTGACGCCGTTTTTTTCGATTGTACGGTATTATTTAAGAATGATATAAGAAATTTAAGCATCATTTTAAATAGATTAATAAAAATATATTTTTTTGAATTTTGTAAATTATATTTTTTTTTTAAATTCATCAAGTATTATTATTCAAAAAAAAGTCAAAGCCCAACAGAAACAATATATTTGAGGGCGCGATTTTTAAATTTATTGTTGCCAACCATGGATATATTCGGCGCCGGGCTGACTAACTGGAATTTAAATTTTGCGCTGGGGATTCAGGTAGTAGCTCTGCTGTAAAAAATCTCAAGTTGTCACATTTATTTATTTATTTCCTGACATTGTCATTCGTTTTGACACTGTAGTTTTGTACTACGAGTTTTTGGTTTAAATAAATAGCGTTGTGGTATTTTAATCTTAAAAAAGTTCACTAGCAGACCTTGCAATCGAACATTGTTCTTTTTAGAACTTCTTTTAGTGCGAAGTGTACAAGGTAGCTTAATAGCCGTAAAAAACTCATCGCAACTTTATGAGAATATTTGGAAGTAATGGCGCTTTATGTCCCTTAAATGCCGAGAAGAAGGTGATATTTTTTGATGTAAATAATAACTGTTTATATATTTATAATTATATTTTTATTTCCTAAAATAATTTGATTAAAAGAAAATATGTAAAAGTGGGCAACGCTGTGCCGGTCAAGCTTATCACGTGACTAAAAGTTTATTTGATATGAACTTTACTTTATAATATAGGTAAGTTTTTTTTTCATAAGCTGTCTAGTATTGAGAGATAAATAACCTAAATTTCATTAATTTTAATTAAATCAACACGTACCTTGAATCGAACTTGGTGCCATCATTCAAAGTACCGGTATAGTGCATCGTCAACATATCACCATTCTTCGATTTAACTTGGCACACTTCGGGTTTACTTACAACGTCAATTTTCAGCTCTTCCTCCGCCCCGTGCACGTTTGCCAAAACGAACAGGACAGCGACCAGCGAAAACATCGTGAATCGGGCCATTTTTCTACTCAGTTGACGGACGAAACTACGAAACCAACCGCAACAAAGCGTCAAGCGCAACTGATATGACGCGACCGCGGCGCCGAGCGACGAAAGTTTTGAAATTGCCACGCTGTTGTTCCGGCCAACGTCGCTTTCTTTTCTGTCCCTGTCAAACGGCGGGATAATGTAACGGGAAAAAGCGAGATAGAACGAAGCGGGAAAGCCACAGGTCTGGCTGTGATTGGTCGGTTTAGCGGTAACGTTGCGGTTCAACCTGTTTGTGTGTGATGTCGCGAAGCGTTGTTGGGCGCTGAAAGAAAACAGAAATTGCGTTTGTCATCCGGATAATTGTTTAGGACGGTTTTGTGTGGTATTTTTATTATTTTTTATCATTGTCGTCATAACGGTCGTTGTTTTACGGTTATTATTAGGGAATGAATAAAAATATATTGTTGCGGATAATGGATAAAGAGGGGATTGTTTTACTGGACTGAAACTGAATGAAAACAAGAAAAGAAAAGCATAGTCCGGACTTTATTTTTATATCTACCGCCCGCTCGTGCGTACATGTTGAAATTTTTTTATCGATAATTATTGTTAAACAAGTCCACAAAGACTCATAAATGGAACAATAGATACTATAATATGTTGAATTGAATAATAAAAAATATAAAAATTAAATAAAAAAAAACTATAAATGACGAGTTTTTACACAAATTAGACGCTGCACAACCCCAAGAACAAGGAACAAGAAAGTTCACTGAAAAAAATATTGTTCATAATATTAATGAACATTGATTATTAACTGTTGTTTCATTGGGACAATGATTTTTTTCATTAATATAATGATAGTATATAGTGTTTAACGCCTTGGGAGTAGCAAGGTACAGTTTGCTAATTTGCTATACTAGAGCCGTTCGGTATACAAGGAAGGTAATGTGGCTAGCACTACGCTTCAACCGCCTATTATTACCTCAGGATTGTGAATACCAAGTACTCATTTAAGGCTGAGTCGACCTAGGTACCCAAACTATTTTTATTTTAATAAAAATAGTCGGCTGATGAAATGCCGGGTTTAGGAATCGAACATACACCTTGAGATTGGTAGACAAAATCAGGACGTCGCAAAAAAAGAATATAATAATTCACATATAAATTTATATGTGAATTATTATAGGATGCAAATAATAGCCCCGGAATCAACAAAATATAAACCAAAAAAACATTTACTTTCCAGGAGTGCACGAAAAGTGAAAAATTTGAGCGCCAAAGCATAGAAATGAAAATGGGTACTTATTTCGAACATGCGTCGGTTAAGTAGAGCTGTAGCATTGTAGAGACCAAAATATTTAACAAAGTAACTGAGAAATTAATTCAACTGTAACTGTAAAATATTTTACTAATTTAACGGACGGACTGTATTCCCAAAGCTGTTTACAGCAACACTAGAAGAAATCTTTCATCAACTGAACTGAACCATCAAAGGACTAAAAATAGATGGAGAATATCTTAGATTCGCTGATGACATATAGTCCTAATTGCTAATGATCCTGAAGACCTACAAGCACAAATTAACGAACTTAAATGCAAGTAACAACCCAAGCAGCATTTGGACGTCGGGAGAACGTTGTGTCACGCGACCAAAGGTCGCGCGTCGGGTCGCAACGTCGGCACAACCTCGTGCCAACCCTAGTCTGCACTAGTTTGGAGAATAATTTTTGGGTCGAAACGACGTTGGATACCGACGTTGGCTAGCAGCCTAATTTAGTACAAACTGCAACGTTGTTTAAAATCCTAATTCACAGAAATAAAAAGCTATAATAATATGGCGTCTAAGTCGCGTTTTATCCTAAATTGGGATAATTATAGTAAAAATATTATTTTTATGATTTAGTTAGAGACATATGCCAGATGGCAGTAAAGAAAAACAAAACAAAAGTATTTAAGTGTGGAGGATGTTTTAAGATCATAATTATTGAAACACTTTAACCGACGCTGTAACTCGTTACCCAAGGCCAGTGGCGCATCCAGAGAGTGAGTCTGGGACGGGTAGTGGCAATATTTAAATAAGGTTAGGTTGTGTTTAAATTAAATTTTCGCTTAAAGATATTGTGACTATGGAAAAAAATAAACTTAAATTGCTCTGGATTTCTATTTTGATTGATATTATTAATTTATTTTGTGACAATTGTAATTAGTACCAGATTTTCTTATTTATAATTTTTTTCCTGGGAGGGGTAATTACCCCCATTACCCCTCCCGTATATGCGCCCCTGCCCAAGGCAAAAAAGTTAAACGCAAACAACTTTATTGATAAATGTATTGTTTCTACTTTGAAAAATACTAATGGGCCTTAAAATTAAAGAAGTTTTAAAAAATTTCTTGATTTTTTTTTAGTAAAATGAGAATAATTTATTCGCAGTCGAAAAAATTGTTTCCGCGTGTTGTTTAGGGTCAAATATTTAAGTTAATGTATTCAAAAAGCAGAAATTGCTATTTTAGGAACGAAACATTTTCTTATTCAACAACATGGCGGCTTTCACTTTGTTGTTTTGGAGATTAAGGAGATTAAGATGGAGTAGTTCGAGTAGTCGCATACTGGACTAATAAAGTCGCAGTTCAGTCTTAACAGGTAGTATACTAGTCACAAGTTTGCATAATTTAGTCATCCTAGAGTCTAGCTTGTGCCGCCCTCTATATTCTAAATAAACGAGGGAGTGGATAAAGTATCGGTAATATGTCGATGTATATTTAAATTTAGTTTTATATGTACCTTTCTTATGTCCCATTTTAATTAAGTTTTTTTTATAAAAACAAAACAGCACTGAACTGTCTGACTGAACAGAACAATGAAGTGAAAATTTAAGATTTAAGGTTATGGTTCAATACAGTTGCAAAAAGGTAGTGGCTCGATGTCCTACCAACGTAAGAATAAGGAAATCTAAACAACGTTGGAATTAGTAAAACAGACGACGTTTGCATAACGTTGGAATAGGTCCTGAAAGTGACGTCGGAAAACTCTTTATTGCCCAACATTGTAACTACGTTGTCCGAATCACCTAAAGATCACTTAAGCAAAAAAGGTTACAAGACAACGTTTATTCGACGTCGCAGAAGCTTTTACTTTGTTGTAGTACTAGTTCAACGTCGGCACAACGTCACAACAACGTTTACATTTATTTTAATACTCAAGGTACGGAGCTAACTATTTTTTGTAACTAATCCAACGTTGTGTTTAGTAAATATGTGGTCGCAAGTCGTAAAAATGCTACTTGGGAATAAAGTAGACCTCAAAATGAATTTAGCGAAAACTGATTCTAATACACAGCTCAGGATCTCTACTACCAGAAATACTAAAATACTAATCTTTCCAATACAGAAGAATTAAGTTAGCATGGACTACATATGGAAGAAACTCAATCATATTCAAATTTAGAATATCACTTTATATAAAAAAGAAAACATTCAATCACCAGTCACGACCAACGCATGCGAAACCTGAACACTTAAAACCGACATTATAAGAAGCTGTAGGTCACACAAATTTCTATAGAAACATGCTAGGAATAACGAAGAAAGACCGTAAAAAATAGAGTGGATACGACAAAAGACCCAACTAATAGATGTCATTAACAGAATCAAATCCCTCAGAAGGATTTACAACAAATGGATCATAAAAATTACAGCATGGTACCCAGGATTTAAGTAGGGTTGCCACCTTTTTGCAAAGCCAAAAAAGAACTTTGAAACCTGGGTTGAAGCATGGTTGATGGAATCATGGAATCTTTGAAGCTAAGCTGTCAATAGGCGCCGATTAAAAATCAGTACTTTAAAATTTTAAAAAGCTCCTGAGAAAAACCTACCTAAAAAGATAGGTTTCCCTTTTTTAGTAAGGGTTTTCTGCGTTCAAGATAGATAAAATCCTTATAAAAATAATGCCTAAACTATCATTGGGGGACTCATAGAATATTTTAAACGCATAGACTAAACGGGGAGCTCTAAATAAAGTTGCCGATTTTAAACAAGAACATTTATAATATAAGTTAAAAAATATATTTAATTCAATTTGAAGGCATATTGCTGGTTATTGTAGATCAATTAGGGGAAAATATCTAATTTAAAAGGACATTTTAGGGCAAAAAAAAGCCACAAGGACAATTTGTTCAAAAAAAAGGACAGTCTTTTTCAAAAAAAGACAGGTGGCAACCATAGATTTAAGAGACCTAGAAGAAGACCAAATGGGGCCTTGATATTAGGAAATAAGCGGGGATAACTTGGACCAGCATAACCAACAATAGACAACAATGCCAAAGAGATTATCTAAATATGTGATGGAGACTACACGGTAATCGAAAAAGGTTGAATAAAGGTTGTTTCTCACTATACCTTCCGTTTCCATTCCATTCCGTACTTTTGATTGTATTAATGCTATACATATGCTTCCGTTCCATATCAGTTCCATATTTATATTTTACAATATATATAGTTACGAAAGTTTTATTTTAATAATTTGTATCTTTTGAAAAAGGTAATAGATTTAATTAAGAGGTGAAAGAATAAATAAATATTTGCAAAATCTTCACAGAGCTGGTACAAATGTAAGAACTTGGCAACGCTGTTTCCGATACGCTTTGGTCCGTCCGCCAAAAAATATATGGAAGGAAAGGATATGGAATGTGGAATTCGATCATACGGTATAATTCTCGTTTTTATAAATTTCTAAACAAACTGTTTTTGGGTCAAGGGCCAGCAAAATTGACACTTTTAGACTGACCGCTCAAAGTCGCACTTTCTACTACCCACAACCATTATTTGTTATTAATGGCTGATGCCCTAACATTATATGAATGATATTCATTAGCAAGAAGCTAAAGAGTATCCCGATACCCTTATTATCAAAAAAAGCTTATAAGTGTGCCTCATTAATTAAAATAATTTATTAACAGTAGTGGGAAAAGATATCAATCTTTTGGTGGTTTTGGTTGTTCCGGATTGAATAATATGTAGTAATACACGGAAAATAGTACCAGGATCGTAGAATTTTCTCATGAGAGAAATTACACAAAGAAAAATTTCTCACAAAGAAATGCATCTCAAAC